TACGTACTTTCAATACACCGTCGCCAGAGTTGTTGCGGATTAGCAAGTTCCAATCTTGCTGTGGTTACTCTAAAAGATATCCTGCCGTCCACACCTCCGCTAGCCGTTCTGAAACTCTCGTGGATTGTCAATACCCAACAAAAATGCAGGCATAGTTTTCTGCGAGTTTTGAAACAGTACCTTGATCTGTGANCATCCAGGATGAAGTTCCGATCAAGAGTTCGTTACGTTAAGTAACTCATTTAGCAGGACCTCCCTCATCTGTCAGACGTCGGTGGATACCGTATATTTTTTGTGGTCTACGTGGCGAATGTCTTCACTAATACACTGTCGTTTGGGGCAAGTAGCACGGATGAATTGTAGCAGCCGCCAGACGTTCTCAGCTGTATCAGGTGATTCCCCATGAAAAACCACTGGAATCCAAAACACATGGGGAACCTTGACTTATGGTTGTACTGCTCTAAGAGTGCCAAATATAATACCGCCTTTGAACTTTGACGGAGAGGTGGCGACATGATCGAGGTTTGATCGTATACGATTGTCTTTTTTGCTTGGCACCGGATCCTCCAATGTTGCTCCCAGCGTCAACATTCGTCATCGTATTGCAGTAACTAAATGTACGGCCATTTTGACATCATTCGGTACGCACATGTTTGCAAATTATGAGTGCCTATGGTTTTTTGTTTACAGGCAAGAAGGCACCACTGGCCTCTGTGAACGAACTGGATTTGGGCTATTCCACTCTTCATCGTCCGGAAACTGTGGATTTGCGTTCCTCCTTGACGTCCACCCTGCGCGCCACTGACTTAACACCCTCTCCCGGTTTTGGTGAATGTTTGGCTTTCGGTGCGGATAATCCGACCCGGTCGTGTCTGAGTGAGTACATTTTACGCCATCATCATAACAGAGTATGCAGTCTCCCTTAACATACCTACTTCAAGCATTGTGGTATTATAAGAGTTAAAAACGAAGATGTCATCGCCATAGGTTCGCTGCCAAGTCCGACAGTGTTTGCCAGCCGACCTGTTGCATAGTCTGTTGGGCTTTAAGATAGAAGATCTCCACTGTATCTAATCTCGGGACGCATTCCTTCATACTTCATCTGCACGTGATTCGCTCCATCATGGAGCAATAAGAGCAGATAAGGCGCGATCAGGTAAACGACAACTAACTATGTATGACACGTATCCTAACTAATGAATCCTAGCAATGCAAATTCGGTGCCTATTGATTGGTTCATCAAATCATTCTGAAGTGCACAGTTGCTTCTCTCGATCTTGCCTACCGTTCCCGTCATCAGAACGTGCGCAAAAACTGAATAAGCACCAACAGTTGAATAACTTTAATAGGTGGATATCTTCCACGTGCAAATTCACGGTCTCAAGCACAAGAGATATCTGATCGCATAGTATACATGATCTTTCAGTCTTAAGGAAACGTTACGTTGATAACAAAGGTATTTCAATCTTGTGTACATCGTTTGAAGCTTCGAACTATGTGCGGTTACCTCATTAACTGCACCACCATTGTTCATTACGCAACTGATGTTTACGGGTATCTGACAACACTTTGGTGATCGGAACTAAACATCTGGGAGAATCGATATTTTAGACTGACTTCCAGCTCGAATCCAAGATTAAGGTTTGGTGTAGCTCTAAATTGATCTCATTGATGATCATCAATGAAGTTCCCAGTCGAGCCAGAAGAGCATGATTGCCAGCCTCCTTCCCCGCTTCTTTCCCGGATGATAACCTGACTGGCGGCCTGATTGCTCTATCAAGAGGGAAATTTACCGACAACGTGAATTGTGTCCATCGCTTCGTTTCACTTTCAAAACTTTATCCATCCATCTTGATGAAACTGCTCCTTGACATGGTGTAATGGCTTGCGTGCCTTCGTTGACCCTTCGAGCTACACAGGAAGGTTTTTCACAGTCGCTTATCCAACCACGTCCTCCTCCATTGCACTGGTGCTGCAGCCTACCAGCATCGGATTCGGAACTTATTCTCCTCTTATGCCAGCTTGAGAATCACACGACCGATCAGGTTCATTTATCG